ATTTATATAAATATAAATATAAAGAAAATATAAAAATAAAAATATAAAAATAGAAAGGAATAAATGCTAACAATAACTGTTTCAAGCAAATTTACCTCTACACGTGAATTTAATTCTCACAACAACTCTATGGACTATGTATATTTTCATGAGGAGGATACTGAAGTACTGTGTAGTCAGAACACCTCCTAAGAAGTGGTACAGTGGAAATTTGAGCCTAGGCAGTCCAACATCAGAACCTATAACATCAGTCTCTGTGCTAATACCCATATTGTGTTAAGGAATAAAACAAGACAACTATTACATAGGACAAAATTAAAAAGCATATTTCTTGATTCAAAGGTATTTATATTTTGGTAGATGGGTAAAATTCATAGAATACAAGATGAGAATGCTAAGCGCCATAAGCAAGTTACCTAATACAGTATGGGCAATTTCCCAATAAGCAAGTACATGAAGACATAGCGTTTGAAGTGTGGCTTAGAAATTGAAGGCAAAAGCCTTCCATCAGAGAAACCAAGGAACAAACACTCAGGGATAGAGAAGGGAGGTAGGAGGTCTCAAGTGTGTACTGTAATTGTCTTAATTCTAAATTTTACTTTGAATAGGTAGTTACATATGGCCTTTATCAACATTTTTTCCACTACATTTGAGCTAAAATTCAACCTAATAGGTACAAAGGAGAAATACTAACAGCATTCAATATCTTGGAATTAATATTGTCCCCTGGTCATAAATCAGCATATATTGGATCAGAAAGAAGATATGCTAAATCAGTCTAAAAAGACAGAATGACTCCTAGGCCAAGAAGACATGGTTGTAACCTCTAAGTTAATGATTAAAAAAAATATTTGGATAAATCCAAAGGCAGGTGGATTAGTTAGAAAAGCATAGAAAAATCGGGTAAGTATTGGTAGTACCCACTAATTGCTTATGTTAGAGGTGCATCGGCCTGAATACCAGGTATGTTGTAGGTTATATTATTGTTCACAATCATTCACTTTCTTCATTTCTGTTATATGCGTATACTTTTATCTACCTTTGATTTGGGGTTTAGCCATGTGGCTTGCTTTAACCAATGGAAAATGAGCAAGTGGTAGTATGGTATATCTGAGCACAGACTTTTAGATACATGGAGATTTTCTGCTGCTCTTTTCTGTTGCTTCTGCTCTCTTGCACCATAGGAAATCCACAATCTCTTAGACTTGGATGAACTAACTAATGCAATCCCAATGTTGGCAATATTTATCATGTTATTCTGGCTGGAAGCCTTTCAACATGAACCCTATGATTTTTTTTTTTTTTTGAAAACTATTCACCAGGCAATCTTCCAGATAAAATTTAAATTTCTGTGTAGTATGCCATGCCAAACAGTCATTTAATCCTTCTTGGGTCAAAATTTACATCATTCATTCAATTTATTAGTAAATATTTATTAGGCAACTAATACATGCCTAGAAGTACTAGGTGCTTGGGATACTTCACTGAATGAGACAAAGATTCTTGCCTTGTGGTGCTTATATTTATTAATTAATAATTTGGAATTCTTATTTTATACATGATTCCAAAAAAGTGCTATTAATGTAAATTGTTTAATATAAATTTTTATATACTTATGTATAATAACACTGCCTCCTTGAACACCGCAAAATGTCTAAAACAGTTGAGACAAGGTGGCTTTATATAGAACAAATTTCTTTCCAGTAAGATAGTGGCCTTCAAACTGTTTCATCTCAATATTCCCTAATGAATTTTGAAAAACTGTACCTACTTTTCCTCTTTAAAGGGGTCATATAAATACTTTTATTCAAAATTAGATAGTTGCAATTTACCTTTTTACTCATCTAAAAGCATCCAATGAAATCCAAATACCATAGCAATTCCATTCCCTTTATCATATAAAAAACATACAATAAGCTCTTATTCAAGAGTTGAATACTTAGCATCCTTCCTCTGCCACTCTGAACTCTGATTTCCATTCTACTTCCCTTTTAGATGTTTATCACGAGGTCATTTATGTTTGAATGTCTCTTGGAGAGGTCATTTTATTAGATTATGTGTATACTGGGGTGCCTGGGTGGCTCGGTCAGTTAAGCATCCAGTTTGGGCTGAGGTCATGATCTCCTGGTTGGTGAGTTTGAGCCCTGCACCGGGCTCTCTGCTGTAAGCACAGAGCCTGGAGCCTGTTTCGGATCCTCTCTTTCCCCTCTCTCTCTGCCCCTCCCCTGTTTGCATTCTCTCTCCGTCTCTCTCAAAATAAATAAGTAAATTTTAAATAAACAAACAAACAAATAAATAAGTGTATACATTCTTTTTTTTTTTCTAAGCTAGCTTGTAAAGGTTTCCATTTTCCTTTAAGCCAATAGCTCTT